ACAAAAGGCCCCAAGGTGCCCAACGAGCACGCGCGAGCCTGCAAAATGCGGAAGCGCCACATGATTTTTCATTCTTACCCTCCGGTTACTCTATATTCTGCCACACTTATACATACCATATCATATCACATCACATATATATGGAAAATCCCAATGTGTATATGATGTGTGTTTTAATGATTATTAACGTCAAAGCTGGTGCTATGACGGGGAGGCCCTCCGATGATTTTCCCAGATTGCCGCAGGGTATGAAGAAATGGGCACAATGATTTCCTGCAACTTTCTTAAGCCAATCAAAGCACATACGTCTTAGTTGACTCCAAGATGTTCTTCAAAGGTGGACGCCTCAATTTCTATTGTTGCCAATTTGCACAACTCCGAAGTATTTCTGGATGCTGACCCTCAAGCCAGGAACCTCGGTTGTCTAATAGTTGCTATTAAATCTATTAGATTTTGAAACTCACAAACGGAAAAGTATCCCCAGAAATGGAACACCATGAAACTTCTTTCGTTAGTGCTGCAACACATGACCAACACAAGTGGTGTCGGCTGCCTGCCCCTGTTGGGATTCTGGGTTCATAAACCAACAAAAATAACTGGGGGGCCTCACCTTGTATATACTGATCATATATTGTATACTCCACTGGACAGGATACCACATGATACCACCCATCATCCCGGTATGTCAAAGGTCTTTTGATCAGTTCTATTGTTAAGTTGCCGTTTCCTTGTGGATTTTGGGAAACAACATGGTGTCCAAGCACCAAAATGCGATGATCATTCCTGGCTTTGGGTCAAAACGTCGCCTGCTGAACCCATGGAAAGATCCATGGAGGGGGTCCATTGCCGGTGGGAAGCTGGTCACCATTCACCCGTCGCTGGCGCCAAAATCCCGTGCCTGTCGGTACTTTGGCGTCCTGCAAACTGCGTCGCGGCGCAAGGAAAATACGTTGAAAAATGGTAAGCCTTTTTTGGGGTAATGGGAATGCGTTGTTTTGGTTGCCATTCACGGAGGAATAACTACCAGGCCCAGCTAAGCATTAACTTCTCTGAAGGGTACACATAGTAATGATAATGATACATAAACAATAACAGCAACAGCAACAGCATCCGCAACAACAACAACAACAACAGCAACAACAGCAACAACAGCAACAACAGCAACAGCAACAGCAACAGCAACAAGCAACAAGCAACAGGCAACAAGCAACAAGCAACAAGCAACAGGCAACGGCAACGGCAACAGCAGCGACAACGACAACGACAGCAGCAGCAGCAACTGCAACAGCAACAACAATAGGAGCAACAGCGACAACGACAACGACAACAGCAACAGTGATAGCGACAGCAATGGCAACAGCAAGAGCAAGAGCAAGAGCAACAACAGCAACAACAACAACATCATCAACAACACAACAACACAACAACACAAACGAAAACAACAACACAACAACACAAACGAAAACAACAACAACAACAACGACGACGACGGCGACGACCACAACAACAACCACAACCACAACCACAACCATGATAACACGGGTTCTCCACGACATCATTATTTTACCACCCAAACTTGACTATTTCAAAAATTAAAGAGGACATATCATGACCAGGCTGATTTTTTTGAGTTTCAACACCAAATGGGACATCCGGAAAATAATATCAATATTATATATAATTATATATGTATATATATATATAATTGATACATGCGAGGTCGACTTCTGGTGTGTTTCCAGACCAAGAATGATTGCAGAATAGGTTGGTCTAATGCCTCGTAGGTCGGTCTTGATGGTCACCACCTTTTTCGGGTGGACGAACTTTTTCGGGTACAGGAGCTGAATGGAACACTCCTGTGAGTCAAAAGCCCTTTTGCTAAGTCTCAAGGCTCAAGCTTTTTCATTGGTGGCTGCAACCTGAGAAAAATATGTTGGGGATCATCACAAATCTGGTGGCACAGCCATCATTAGTGTTGACCCCAACTGGCCGAGTCGGAAAAAAAAACATCCCATCTGGTGCATAGCAGTTACTTTTGGATCACCTTCGGAACCACTGGGCTTAGCAAGAATGATATATATATATATGTACATATATATAGAATCCACCACGTCATTTTCGATTTGCTTGGGATAAGCTTGCTGCAATTTGCCAAAACGAGATATCGCTGGTTTGGACCAGTGCGATAAAAACAAGTTGTAATGCTTTACCTGCTCGCTGGTGCTCAAAAGAACACTTTTGGTGGGTTCGACCTCGAATTTTCTGATTGTCACCCTAATCTTCTTGATCGAAGCAGGAAATCGGTGGCCACATGATTGTTTTTGCCTCATCATCTTGCCTCAACCTAGGGTTTTTCCATGTTTTTGCTGTTCCAGGACAGGTTTCTACAGTCGTGTTGTTCCACCGTTCCACCCCACCCGCGGTCCAAAATGTGGAAGATTGTAGTGGACTTGCCAGTACCCGGTGGTCCCTGGCGATGGGATTCCCAGGAAAATGCTGCGTTTTTTGTCGTGTGAATCATGACTTGCTAACAACTTCTCAATGGGATCAAACATGTCACCCATCAAGGTGGGATCTCATCTAAGTTCAATGGGAGATCTTCAGGATCCATTTTAATGGGGGTACGTAAACGTACCATATTTTGGGCCAAAATTTCTGGGGATATTCCCTGAAATTTAGGCCTTATATATAGGCCTTATACATGGTGGGTACCTCCAATTTAGGATCCTGAAATTCCCATTGAACTTCTGCGTGATTGGATTGGTTCAGAGGAAATGATACAGGGGAACTTTTACATGTAGAGGATTCCTGTTATTTTTACCTTCAAGAAACAATCATAATAAAAGAATCATCTTTTACTGGGGATTTGGATATGAGGCCAACAAGCATGGGGACAATAAGATAATAAACTCGGTGGAATAAATCTATAAATAGGTTCATTCCGTACAGACCGGATGTCTGATGTCTTGAGGAGTTGGCTTGGAAAAAACAGGATACATCCCGGAAAACATGGACAACCATAGGCAAATGTAGGTCCAACATGGTCAACCATCAAGACCGTTGGGACCGCGTTGACCATTCCCACAGCGTCGAAAGTTCGCACGTTGCCCCGAGAGTCATATTGTTGATGTATTACATATCTCAGTATGGCAATTCCCAAAAAGGTAGAAGAGAAAAGTCCCATTTAAATATTGACGAACTACTTTTCTATCTTTTTTTGGGGGGTTACTTTATATCTGGTTGGTGGTTTCAACCCCTCTGAAAAATATTAGTCAGTTGGGATGATCATTCCCAATATATGGAAAAATAAAAAATGTTCCAAACCACCAACCAGTTATGCATGACAGCCAGTCTGGTTGACCCTGGCCATCGGGTCCAGTAAGACTGCTGTATCTTGCCATCTGTCGGGACAACTTACACGATCATCCTGAGCATCAAAAGTGCAGCCATTCTGGGACAGCCAAGAAGTCAATCCTAATCATCGTTTCGGGATTTACCCAGTGGTTTCATGATCAACTACCCAAGTGGTTTCGTCATTTTCCACCACAATTTCTGGACAAATAATGTCACCGCTTTTTGAATTCTTAAGGCCCAGTTTTGGATGGGGTTTAAGCATGGTAAAACACCCTAGTCTTTGTTGGTCAAATCAGGATTCTGGCCGGTTAAATCCAGAAATGTTTGTTGCTCACATCATCATTTTAGATCATACTTCTGGTAAAATCATCCTTTTCTTCATGGTGAAGCCCATTCTATTTCCAACACAAAAAAACGCTCCGGAACAGCAGAACCGCTCCGCGGGAACCGCTCCGCGGTTACCGCTCCGCGCCTGGATCTTCTCCAAAGCAAACTTGAGGCCTTCGATGGCGGCCCGCTGCGAAGGATTCACCTGGCAATTCATCGCCATTTTGTTTTTTGCGAATGGACCCATTTTACGATAAAAGATGATATATGAATTACTAGTTAGATCATGTTAGATCATGTTAGATCACGTTAGATCATGTTAGATCTAGTTCGTATCTAATCAAGGTTGACCCAGTATCTTGGTTTGGTAAATCATGTAAATATAATTAAATATACGTAAATATGGGTTCTGTTTTTTTTGGGAACATAGACTAACCATAAATCAACACAGAGTCGTTTTTTTCCATCGAATATTAGCTATGTACCCTTTGGTGTCTGGATTTTTCTGGGAAATCTCCGAATGAAACATGCTCAAAAGGGAAAATCCACTATACATGGGGGAATTTTCCATTGCAATGTTTGACTACACATGAACTACACCAGACATGGTCATGATCAAGTTACCATGGTTTTTTCATATGGGGTATGGTCATCCACCAAATCATAGGTATCCCTCATATAAACATAAGATTCATGACCATGCCCCATAGGAAGCAACAGTTTGGCTGGGAACTCCCAGCCAGGCCTAGCCATGGAGGTTTCGTTAACATCGAAGTATTGCTGGGAATCTCATCGGAACATGAGCAGTTCGGCCATTTGGAGGTTTCCCCCAAATCATCCACTTTTGTTTGGGATGGGATTTTCCATGAAATAAACCATCCATTTGTGGGTATCCCCAGGACTCAGGACTTTGATCTTTTTCTATTTTGGGTAAAATCACCATCGATGATTGGAGGGTCACCAACCTGCGGGATGGTGAACCGTCTGGTGAGTGTTTTCATCATAACACATTTAAGTGTTCCGTTTGATTATTGAATATGAGCCCATGATTTGTTACTGGATTTTCTGATCATTAGTGTCGCCAGTCATCCAGTTGTATCGAGACCATGTCTGACGTGGCTGCATAACCTTCATTCAAAATATCCCATTCTATCCATTCACCATTAATTCCCATTCATACTGTGGATGGACAAAATCCTGCACCACTTGGTTCCTATTGGTGAGACACATTGAGAAACACTGTATATGATGTGACTACAATGGGATAAAACATCTACCGGTGCAGGATTTCTTCCACAGTATCCCATTCTGCCGCAATCTTTTTGCTCCATCTGCCCATCGTACGTCGTATCTCGTCGATTTTGCTTAGCCGAAAAGGTCGAATTCCATCTCTTCCTCCTCCTCTTCTTCGACGACCTGTCGAGAGCGTAACCCGTGATGTTATCTCGAAACTATGAACGCCGGGGATGATCCGAGGCTTTAAACACCATTGTTTTTCTATGACAGTTGAAACCGCCAGCTATTTTCTTTTTTCAGAGTCAGATTTTGGAGAATCCGTTTTGCAAGACCATTGTTCGATCAACCAGCGCAACTCAGGGATTTGTACCGCAAATCTTTCGGGCAATGGGGGTCACGTCTGAGAGCATGGGAATCAGCAATGAAAGCAGCAAGACTACAACCAGCAAAATACATAAACAAGATTTTTAAAAAGGAAACCAACTGGTTGGTGGTTTTAACAATCTTGAAAAATATGAAAGTCAATGGGAAGGATTATCCCATATTATGGAAAACAAAAAATGTTCCAAACCACCAACCAGCCAAAAGAAGTATTTCAAGATATTTCAACGGACAAAATGGTCGCATGAATATTGACTTCTCCCCGTGCAACCTGGGTTTATTGGAGGTGTCGAACGCAGCCATTGGCCCTGCTGTTGACACGCCAAAGATCCATCCACAGTAGATACTAGCACACCTTTGTCGCTTATGATTGACGCTTTTTTGTTTCTCCTGATATGCCGCTATATGGGGGTTTCCAGAAATGGTGGTACCCCAATAGCTGGATGGTTTAAAAATGGAACATCCTACAAAAATGAGGGTGATTTGGGGGTACCCCCATTTATGGAAACCCTCATATGTTCCTTCATCCTTCAAAGAATTGAGCCATGAGGGATTATGATCGCCCCTAGTATCTTGAGCAATATAACCCCCCTAGAATCATGAACCAAACAAACACTTAGGATTAGTACAGACACAAATTATTCCATTTTTTTTGATGGCAAACTATGGCAACTACCCACTACACCATGTTTTTTTGGGGGATTACTATGATTTAATCCCATGGACTTCTTCCCAAACTTCGCCACCTTTTTCTCCTCCTGCGCGGCTCGACTGCTTTGGACTAGATGATGGTATAAAACCAACCATTCTATGGGGGGAGATACATGTAGATATGCTGTATATCTTTATCTATGTAGATAGGTAGATAGATAGAGAAGATAGATAGATAGATAGATTAGATTAGATTAGATTAGATTAGATTAGATTAGATTAGATTAGATAGATAGATTAGATAGATAGATTAGATAGATTAGATAGATAGATAGATAGATAGATAGATAGATAGATAGATAGATAGATAAGAAAGAAATAAAGATAGATAGATAGATAGATAGATAGATAGATAGATAGAGAGAGAGAGATAGATAGATAGATAGATAGATAGATAGATAGATAGATAGATAGATAGATAGATAAGAAAGAAATAAAGATAGATAGATAGATAAGAAAGAAATAAAGATAGATAGATAGATAGATAGGTAGATAGATAGATAGATAGGTAGATAGATAAGATAAGATAAGATAAGATAAGATAAGATAGATAGATAGATAGATAGATAGATAGATAGATAGATAGATAGATACAATGTGAGGCCCCCAAGATAGCTAAGTTGGTTTATAACTCCAATAACTATGGTTTATGGTACTTACAACTATAGTTACTGAGGCTTATAGACCAACTTATAACTGAGGGGCCTCACATTGTATAGATAGTGGCATAGTGGCATAGTGGGAACCTCACAGTATATCAATGGGTTACAATCATGAAAAAAATGGAACATCAACTATAAACGGGGATATTCCATGGGTAACATTCAAAACCAACAGCTACCTGGGACCCTGTGGAGATCAGAAAATCCACCCTCCGGTATTCAAACATGGCTTTTCGGAACATCACCCATTTTTAGATGATTTTCCCAGCTGGAAACCGCTGATTTAAAAAAAAGGGCCCAGATCTTGATGTTTTGATCAGTGTACAACTCTAGAGCTGTGACATGTTTTCTTTGTTCCCGTGGCTCAATCACCGTCATGCTTTCTTTTGCAAATCAAATCTAACCATGCAGTGCAACTTTTAGGTTGGAATTTAACCTGGCAGAAAATCCCGAAACGTACTCGTGTACATACGACCAGTACCTCCCAGTCATAGTTGCAGATGTTCCAGTCAGATTAGTTCCACGGGGCTATCATAGTCCATGACAATATCATTCTGCTTGGTGGTTGAGCCTACCCCTCTGAAAAAAGATGGAGTTCGTCAGTTGGGATCATTATTCCCAATATATGGAAAATCATAAAATTCATGTTCCAAACCAGAAACCAGAATACCATTTCTATAACGGTGATTTATCGACTCATTTTAATAACAAAAGTTGTCGGCACCGATGAGGTGCTCATGACAAGACACTGGTGATTTACCCTCTGGTAATGTCTAACAGTTTGCGAAGTGGAAAATCACCATTTTTAATGGGAAAATAGACTAAAAATGGCAATTTCCCATAGCGAACTGTTAAATTACCAGAGGGTAATATTCAATATACCCGATAAGAGCAAGTAGTTACGAAGCTTGTCCTTTTCACCCAGTACTGGTGTCTCCAAAAAAGAGGGTACACCCTAAATCCACAGACCAACCCGCTGAGGTTGCCATACAATGAGGCTATCCTGGGTAATCCCATAGCACATAGCCATAACTATAGGAGTTGCATCCCAACTGGGCTTATGACCATAGCTATGACCCTGGGACCATAGGGCCATGTCACCCTCACCAAGTCGTGACATGGGACATGGCGAATTTGGTCATGTCATTGGCTTTTTTCACGGAGATAAAACTTTGGATCCCCAGTAATGTCAAGCCCGGATGAGACTAAACCCTGGTTTACTAATTAGCCATAATATGATACTTAAATGGTACCCTCCCAATTAAACAATCTAGGGGTTTATTAATCCAGGGTTGACATTAATGTTTGTAATTAGTGGGATTGTATAGGGATTATAAGATGATTAATGAGATGATTCATGTGGGTAAAACCATGCCATATATCACCCCATGTGGGAATGGTTTATACCACACCTATTTATGGTGATGACTGGGGGATGGTTGATTATTGATTTAGCCAACAATATCCCCAACACATTCTCTGAAACTGAATTTTCTGCCCATCTGGACCAAATCAAAACCAGGGCCATACCCAAATATTGTTGGTTGTCCATCCCCATTCACAGTCAGTAATCATCCCCATATATAGCAAACAAAAACAGCAAAAGAAAAAACAAAGAATCTAAACTTGAATGTTTGTGGTTGACCATGCTTATACATACAACCATCCAAACAGATAGACAAGTCAAATCCCTCCAAACATAATGATAAATCACTTTTCTATGTCACTGTCTATCTATCCCTATCCTGTCCTGTCCTATCTCATCCCATCCCATCCCATCCTATACATGTATATATATATAATATTATTTTCAATTATTTCATATATATATATACATACAAATAATGTATATAGTATATATATATAATCATATTGATATATATATATACATACATCAATATACATCCATATACATCCATATACATCCATATACATTCATATACATCCATATACATCCAAATACATCCATATACATCCATATACATCCATATAGTCATATATATATATATATATATATATTATAGTATATATATATATCCCGTAAATCCATGCCACCACCTTCCGGTGCCCCGGTGCGGCGCCACCGCCGCCGCCGCCGGCGGCGGGCGCACCACCGCCGCCGCCACCGCCGAAGCCCTGAGAAACGCATCGTCGGTGGATCCAGGGCTTAAAATTGGATGAAAATTAGATTAAATTGGATTTTCCCAATGTCCCTACAAATAGCTTGGAGCAGGATTTCCGGCTTGGTCTTTTCAGATCATCCAGCTAGTAATCACCCAAATCTTCAAGCGGCGAGTGCCTCAAATCTATCTTTTTTGGGGTTATATAATGACCAAAAACCAACATTTAGTAAACCTTAGTTTGTTGATAGGGGAGGTACCCGGTTTTGAATTTTTCATAGAATTTTGAGTGACTGCGTGATCGCACAAGCTAGACTTAAGCTAGACTTATATGCGAGCGAATGGGAAAAATTGAGAGTGACGCTCCCAAATTAATGCTTATGACAATTCTGGGTTGACACTGTGAGCGACAAATCTTGACGACATCAGCCAGAAGAAGCTAGAACGCCTCAGCCATTAGTGGTTAAGACATTCACCGACCTAAAAAAGGCTGGTCACTTAGGGACGAGAGCTTCTCACAATCTATCCAGATTACTGGTTTACAAGATACTTGGGATTGATGGATTGCAGTATCCATCAAAGTTGATTCCTAAGTATTCATAGCCACTTCAATGGTTTATGGTAGACCCTCTGGTAATTTAACCAAGCTATGGAAAATCACGATTTCAACCAGGTAAATCATCAAACTGAATGGCAATCTTTTATAGCAAATTCTTGAATCAAACATGGCTTGCTGGAACATCCACCAATTAGTTCGATGACTATTTCATTAAAACCTCTACGTTTAGGAGATTTCATGGGATTTCCCATTTACCACGTTTGATTACTGGAGGGTAACCCTCATTTTTGATAGTTAACTAATTACCGTATAACCCATTAAAATCCATTGAATAACTATTTCAATTGTTAATATCAACTACCTCCTTCATTTAGTTCGCTGATTATCCCATTGAAAACCCTATTTTGAGGGGATTTCGCAGCAAGCCGCCTTTGATTACTGAAGGGTTTATTATCCCAATTCTCATCCCAACTATATCATACGATATCTCTATAAATATCCAGAAATTTGAATCCCATAAACAATCCAATTAAATTCCATCAATAACTCCCATTTATACCCACTATCCATTAACTTCCATCAAACCCTATCTTCTTGAGGATAACTCTAAAGTTCTTGGCTGTCCCCGTCCACCGCTCCTTCAACTTCTCCTTACCGGCCTTCACAACCTGGACGTTTCAGGACGTTCCAGGGTGGAGCTTCGAGCAAAGGGGGTGATTTCACTTAGCAAAATGGATCAAGATGGTGATTTTTTAGATTCTCAAGCCACCGGAATCTGGCTTTTTCAAGCAACACACAAATATGGGATTTCACCAATTTTCATGAGGATTCAAGCAAGAAGAATGGGCAGTAAAAAAACAGTAGATGTGTGAGCTTTGGGACCGGCCATCCCAGTCACCCGATGGCGAAGGTTGTGTTAGAAAAAATGCCTTTGGAGTATGCTTTTCCATGACCAAACAAGACATTTGGGTAACACGCTCACTTTTTATATTAATTAGTTTTTTTTTTAATCTCGCGGTTATCTTTGCCAATCTTAGATAGCCTCACAAAAAAACATGAATTTTTGGCTGGTGAGTAGATCTTCCTGGCTAAAATTGGCCATATTTCACTCTCGGCCAGCCTCATGCACCACTTTGCCCTCGAGCCTGGAAAGCGGGACGCGACCAATGGTCGTGGATGGGAAGGATTCGCCGATAAGAGAAAGCCATCCATTGGTAGGTAAACTTAGGTAAACGGTAAAACCGCTGTACTGTCATTTTCATTTTCCATAGGAACAAGTTCGTTTACTGGAGGGTAAGCGTAATGGCAGTATCATGGGATTGTGATGGATTCTAATGTCCATATGCAATTTTAAGATCCAGAATGAGGAGGTGGCTGAAAATTCAAAATAGTTTAGAAAAAGGGAATTACTTCACTTCGAATGATCCCCACCATGACATTTATACATTTTCTTACTGGCAAATCTTCTGGCATTCTATCTGACATATCTTCTGGCATTCTATCTGGCATATCTTCCGGCATATGTTCTGGCATATCTTCTGGCATTCTATCTGGCATTCTATCTGGCAAATCTTCTGGCATTCTATCTGGCATATCTTCTGGCATTCTATCTGACATTTTATCTGGCATATCTTCTGGCATTTTTTCTGGCATTCTATCTGACATCTTTTCTTCCCGTTGAGGTCCGGCAGTGCCCACTGCGATCTGGAAGTCGCGGTTGAGGTCCGGCAGTGCCCACTGCGATCTGGAAGTCGCGGTTGAGTTCCGGCAGTGCCCACTGGGATCTGGAGCTCGCGGTTGAGGTCCGGCAGTGCCCACTGCGACCTGGAAGTCGCGGTTGAGGTCCGGCACTCCCCACTGCGATCTGCAACTCGCGGTTGAGGTCCGGCAGTGCCCACTGGGATCTGGAGCTCGCGGTGGAGGTCCGGCTGTGCCCACTGGGATCTGGACTGCGAGGAGGAGGAGGACGAGGAGGAGGAGGATGCGGAGGCGGAGGAGGAGGAGAACAGCTCTGATAAAATCTAACAACCATCACCTGGCAGGTGGGGAAAAAGCGATAACCAGCCAACATGGTGATTTTACCGTCAGAAAATTGGATTTCACTAGTGAATGGTGGATAAATTCATCATTTTAGCAAAAATGATACGATTTTTCACACCCAAAACCTATTCACTTAAGGAATACTGGTGAATAATATGGCGAACTAAAACGACCCACACAATTTTGGCAATTCCCCACTTGTGAGTTGAGGGTCTCATACCTATCTGATAGTGGCACGACAATAACAGTGACTGAACCCTTGGTGCAGTTCCACATAAAATTGGCTACATAAGTATGGGTCAAAATTCAAGGCCTATGGGACTATGGGACCACAGATTCCAGTATATGTTTCTTATTTACCATTTAATTCTCGGGGCCCATACTACACCCATATAGGCATAGTTATCACTTAGCAATGATGAGGATATGCCAGCAGAAAATGTGCAACTAGAAGAGCAAATGGCTTCGGAGTTCTTCCAATCAAATATGGGGGCTTAAATGGGAGTACCCCAATAGCTCGATGCTTTATTTCATGGAAAATCCTTTGAACATGGATGATTTAAGGGGTACCCCCATGTCTGGAAACCTCCAAATGAGATTCGGTCGCTCTAAGTCTCCAGGTGGAGGTTTCTATGGTACGGAAATCCAGAGAGTGAACTGGTGTACTTGGGATTTCGTCCAACAAACATGCAGACATATGCAGACATAGCATGACATAGCGACATTTGCGGCACGCCCAATTGCACAAATTCATTCTACCAGGTAAACAGCTTGACTTCCGAACTTTGTTTGGTGAAATCCCCTTTCATTTGACGTACCCTCTGGTAATTTAACAGCTCGCTATTGAAAATGGCCCATAGAAATAAATAGTTGATTATTACCTATTAGAGATGGTGATTTTCCATAGCTATGCTAGTTTACCAGAGGGTACTAAGTCTTCTTTGGTGGAACATCCATTGCTTTAACAAAGGCATCCCCAATTCCTTGACCGCCTCAATTTCTTGTCGATAAACTCCTGACGTTTGCTAGATAAAAACCCTGATCACATTAATTTTTTGTTGGCAAAATGTGATGGTGTTTCCTAAAATGGGGGATCCCCAAGTCACCATGGCTTCGATACTAAACTATGCAAAAAAAAATATGGGATTTGGGGTATCCCTATCTCAGGAAATCTCCATATGATGAATGAAATGGCAATAAACCAATCTTGGCTGTGGATGTCTTCCAGCGGTTATCCTATCAGCTGAGAAAACTAAGCACAAAATAATACAAAATATCGCCTGCCTCTACACTTGCTGTATCCTGACGTGGGGCTATCCACTAACCCAACGGTTTCAAACTATATTCAACTGTAGAAAATGGTGCCCCATAGTTGGCCAAACTGGTTTGTAACTAGTTAATTAGTACTAATTTAATTAAGGTTTATGGCAACTATGACTACATATTGGGTGATAAAGCTACAAACAAACGTTTTGGGGACACCACATGAGCAGTGTTCCAAAACCCTGTGACGTCCCTATTCTAGTTAGTAGAACGGCATTCCTTGTTCATGGATTGTTTTCTATTCTTCATTACATTGGTTACTAGAGTCCCCGAACTTACCATCATTTATCAGTTATATCTTCTTATATCCCCATATTTGGATATTTCAAATTTCTTCAAATCCCCATTATACATCCCCATCAAGGCTCACATGGCAGCGCCAAGGAACTCAGAGACCAACTTACTGGCGATGCTCTCATCCTGGGAGCTGCTGACGAATTCGAAAAAACGGATTTCATGGCTGATCTTAGATACCCTGCATTTTAGATGGCTATATAGAACATATAGAAATATAACATATAAATACCATATATATATAGTATATATATATAACATATATAGATAACATATACAAATATAACACACACATATATATGTACACATAAAACCTATACATAACATATGTATATATATATATATCATATATTTTCATATAACACACGCACACACAGACACACATATATATATATATATAACATATATATATATATATATAAAACACACACACACATATATATATGTACATAAAAACATATATATAAACAAATATAAAACATATATAAAACATATATAAAACATATACAAATATAACACATATATATATGTATATATATGTATATATATGTATATATATGTATATATATGTATATATATATATATGTATATATATGTATATATATATATATATGTATATATATATATATGTATATATATATGTATATATATATGTATATGTATATATGTATATACAAATATATGTAAATATATATATACACATAACTTTGATATAAATAACACTATATATATATATACCATGATATATATATAACATATGGAAATAATGACATATAAACCATGTATATATATATACGACAGATGTATATATATATATATATACACATAACGTGCATATATACCATTTTCAAAATATATGTACGGTCCCAATCAACAGACTAGTTCATTCCGTCAGTAGCCATCAAAGTTTTCTCACCAGGCCACATATTCCGAGTCCACGGAATCCAGAATCGCCTGGCTGAGTCAGCGGGACCAGCAACACCAACTATCTTCAGCTCCCTGGGCTGGGGAATCAAAATGAACATCCCCCCCTATAGTTTGAGAATTCCCATCTATCTTCCCAGTAGAATTTTGAGAATCCCATCCTATGTATACTCTGAGAATGCCCCCATGTATAACTGGTTGGTGGTTTTAACCCTCTTGAAAAATATGAGTTCGTCAATGGGAAGGATGACAACCCATATATTATGGAAAATAACAAATGTTTGAAACCACCAACCAGACATGATATGACACACAAATCTGATATGATTGGGGGACATTAATAGGATTTTAATAGGAAATATATGGATTGATATAGGATAATAATTACCGGGATAATAGTGGGAACATTATGGGATAACTATAACAGACATCATATCATCAAATGTCTGACTACAAACCGTCTGGTTTGCTCCACATGCTTCTTAGTGGTTTTATGGGTAGCGTTCATCTCTGAACCATGATTTCTTGTGACCTTGCAGGCCATGATAATTCATCCAAACAAGATCCCCGTACAGGAACTGATCAATGAATTATTTCATTTATATATAATGTGGGCAACTCAATGCCAGAAACCTCCCATTTGGGGATGACATTTATACCACCCATAAAACTGCTCATTTTGGGGATGGTTTATGACATGCTGAAATCATCGAAAAGATTCCTGGCGTTCTCTGACCTTCATCAGTCAGCGGCTGGAGCGCAGGGTGGGGCGGCCGTTCGAATCTCTTCGCCCTTCGCCTTGCTCCTCAACTTCCACCGGTGCACCTTTGGAATTCAGCCTTTGGAGAAGCAAGCGACGCATCGGTCGACCGAAACGTATTGGTGGAGACGCAACTGCGATTCTCCAGGCGGCACATTGATGCTTGTTGAAGCTCCTTAGACCACCAATCTACCATCATTTATCAGTGACTTTTCAGCAAAGCCACATGGCTTACCTTCTGGAATTTTCACATAACTATGGAATCTCCATTTTGAAGACTCATTGAACTAAATGGGCCATAGCAAACTCTTGAAATTCAAAAAGGACAATCCGCAATATTCTATTCATATTCCATTCATATTCCATACACATTCCATAAAAAAAACACCATTTTTGAGAGTGAAATCCCCATTTCACAATCCAATCATATTCCATTCATATTCCAAATCCAATGATATATTATTTAATATTCATTTTCCATTCATATTCCATACCCATTCCACCACCAATCACAATCCAATCCAGACAGCATCGGCCGGTGGATCACACCTTGATGTCGTCTGCCGAGGGGCTCTCCTTGCCAGCCAGGGCCTCGTGGTGACCACAGATGTCGTTAGGGCCGATGCGGCATGGCGTTTTGGGATAAAAACAGTAGGATTCACCTGGTTATTCCCTGGTTGGTTAATGATGATGGTTATTATATGGTTAATGATGATGGTTATTTTATGGTTAATGATGGTTAGTTATATAATAATCTGGTTGGTGGTTTTTCGCCTACCCCTCTGACAAATGATGGAGTGAAAGTCAGTTGGGATGATGACTATTCCCAACTGAATGGAAAGTCAAAAAAGTCCATGGTCCCAAAGCACCAACCAGTTATAGATCATTAAACATTATCCACCAGCCATTACCAACCATTACTAACCATTACTAGGACACTTGGCCGATTTCTGGGACACTTCGAGAACATCATTGTGAATCAGCGAGAATTCTGGGGACCAAGCACTGTGGGTGAATCGGTTGGCTATGAGAGCATCGAATCCGATGACATTTTCACTTTCAGGCCTACTGCTTGGTGGTATACCTACCCCATTTTTCCATTTGCTCTGCTGCACCGTCTTGGTGCTTGGTCTCCGTGCATGTTGCGGCTGACCTTTCATCAGCTTCCGCCATGGTAGTCCGGCTGGACCACTGCAGCATCGTGGCAACTCTGTTCCAGATACGGGGTGAAGTCATCCGGCAGGCTGTGCGCCACGTCAAGGTCTGACCATTGTGTTGCAGCCTGGAACAGTGCTTCCCCGAGTATCTTGTTGAGGCCATATGGATATACCTTGGCTTTTGCAGTATGGAAGGTGCCGTCAAGCTCTCTGCCTATCAAGGCCACATGCGAGCCCGGTGGGTGATTGCAACGCCCAGAGCAGCCTCTCCTGAGCAGGATGTCCCTCACACGGGGCAGCCGAAGGAGCAGGAGGGTTGTGGGTTTTTTCCACAACGCACCTACCGTGCACTGATCGAAGCTCACGACTGAAAAGCAGCCCAGGTTTTTCAGCTGGATGAGGGCTTCGGTTGCCCAAATGCTGGCAGGGGATCCTCGAGTGCACCAGGTTGGAAACTGAGGATGCTCGAGAAAACCGCTCATGCCCATCATGGCTAGTGCTACCAACACATCGAGTAGGAACCTCAGGAGCCGGTCGCTGATGCGGAGCTGGTTCCACTCTCTGATGGTCAGCCCGGGGATGCCCAATGGGTGCGCTGCACTGCGGAGTGGTCTGGGGCCTCCGTCGTATTGTCTGGCGACTGTGAACGTTTCACATGGTGGGCCTCCACCCGCAGCGACCACCTGCCCACTCAAGATGCGCTCTTTCCACCACCGCGCAGCTTGAGGAGTTGCAAGATCTGCCTTGATCCTTTGCATGCAGAGATCTACCGAGAGGGTGAATACATGGGCTCCTGTTTGCATTGTGCAGTGGTCGATGATATGATGGATATCACCCATCCTGCGGAAACCGCTAAAGAAATGCACAATGACAAGCGCTCTGACATGCAGCAGTGCTGTTTCACGGGCCAGTCCATGCATGGAAAACGCCCCTCCTGCATTGTCGCGTCCTTTGGGGGACTGCATGATGAATGCCGGGAGGTCCTGACGATGCCACCACAGGGTGGGTGCCTTCTGAGGGTAACGCTCAACCCGGGTACCCTGCAGCAGGTTGTAGGCCATGTCATCACTGGGGCGTCGGTGTGCCATCTTGGTGTGCATTGCTTGTGCCTCTTCTGATCCTGCTGGTGGTAATGGGGGTCCGCAGGTTTGGAGGACCGGTTGGAACGCTTTCGAGGCCCACCAGCCTTGCTTGCGGAGGAGTGCTTCATGCTCTTTGTCTGCATCGTCCAGGCTTTGGACCATTTCAGCGGGAAATGGGGGCCAGCAAGATTGGATCACATCATAGCACTTTTGCTGCTTTTCGTAGTGCACTGAAAGCCGTTTTCTGGTGTGGAAGTCTTGGCCACAGGCGTGGCACATGCTTCCCACCGTGAAGTAGCGTACTTTCTTCTTGTATCCATGCTCTCGGGTGGCATGCATCGCCAAGGCACGAGTGGATGCAAAGATTTTGTGGCATAGATCGCACTGCAATTTTTCGGCGGGCACTTGGGGCTTGGCTTTGTCCGGTATGGTGGCGCCGGCAGCTGCCAGCCTGGCATCAAAGTGTCTTTGCCACACTGCATGCTCGGCTCGAGCTCTGTGATAGGACAAGGCTAGCTTGCTTGTCTTGCGCAGCCGGCCCTTCCAGCTTGGGTCGAGGCGGATGAATCGGACCCAATCAAGGAAGGTGGAGGAGCTGTCCAGGGGCAGCTTGCTGTCGTAATGCAGTAGCATCCATTGACAGGACTCCATACACAAAGCTGTCCAAGAGTGAGGGCCATCATGGTTGGTCAGCAGTGCCCATGTGATGGGTGGACATGCTCCCAGAAGCCTGGCGAGGAACCTTAGCCTGTTGGCATGAACCTGGTCAATTGGTGGCAAAATGCCTGCACAGGCGAGCATTTCTTCCGTGGTATGCATGAAACGCGTCGGTGCCATTAACAGTCCCTTCAGAAGGGTTCCAGCTGGGGCTTTCAGGTGGTTGATGAGTGTTTGCATCTGTTTTGGTGTGACTGTCGACCACGTGTGGACGTTATACAGCAACTTTGAAATGACTAAAGACTGAAAGATTGTACTTTTGACCGGCAGGGAGATACATTTTTTGGTGAAAAATGATCTTGCCAGTTGGCCATATTGCTGTTTTGCAGCAGATCCCCTGGCCAGGATCTCTTTGCTGTGCTTGTGGTGCGACTGCAGCCATGTGCCCAAGTGTTTGTAGGCATGACAGAGCTGCAGGGTGTACTTCTTGTTGTTGGACTCCCATTGGAGTGAGTGGCCATCTGCATAAAGGGCTTGTTTGAGCTGTCTGGCTCCTTTACCGATGACCGTCCACAATGCCTCGGTCTTGCCACGATCATAGTTGATGCTGAGTCCTCTTTTTTCGGCTGCTTGATCCAGCGCTACAACAACAGCCTTCATGGTTTGGGCTACACGATCATTGCAGCGTCCATGGATGAGAACCACGCAGTCATCAACAAATGTGACATCCACATATCCCTCTGGTGGCATGGCAGGACAAGTTTCAAGGTCCACCACCGGGGTGGCAGTGCCTTGCCAGGGAACATCAATGTGGCTTGCCATATGCGTGCGGAAATCCGTCAGGATGAGGTGCATGCACAGGTTGAATAAGACATCAGCCACTGGGTCGCCTGGGCGCGTGCCTCTGGTGGTTTGGCAGGGGTTTTGAAGACCTTGGATTGTGAAGTACGTGTTGTGCAACAGGTCCTGGAGGATGTGTTGCATATGCTTTGGCATTTGCTTGGCGGCTTCATCGGTTTTGGCTGCACTCAAAAGTCGGTCGACGTCAGCTGGGGTGAGGCCAAAGTGGTACATTGCAGCCATGAATGCATCGTCATGGGACTGTATGCATGTGAAAGCCTGTCTCAAAACCATGTAAAAGGCTGATTTCAGGTCAAAGAAAACTGCAGCCGAGGGTACCGCTTTGTGCTTGCACCAAGATTGGTGAGATTGGACTATATGGTGGGCCAGGTCGGCCCCGATGCCTTTTCTGCCACCACATTGTAAATGCGTCAAGCTTTGCTCCCACGCCCGTACGAGGTGGGCTCGAAAGCACTGGTGATAAAGCTTGGTCGTGTAATTCGAAATAAAGATGCTTCGATATCCACTTGCAATGCTTGGCGCCAGCTTACCTTTCCACAGTGGGATTAGGACCCCCCCTTTCCAAGGCAATGGCTCACGGGAGTTGGCAGCGGCCTTGGCGTAAAGCACGGACAGTTGCTTGGCTGCAACATGCCCTCCTGCCTTCAGCAATGCTGGCGGAATGAGGTTAGGGCCAGGGACTTTATCCCTTTTGAGCTTGGCTATGAGCATTCGGATCTGCCATTGTCCAGGGAACGCTTCTGGCTCAATGTCATGACATGGCATGTCCGGTGACTGGGAGGCATGTTGGTCGGCAAGCTGTTCCCATGAGCGGGGGATGCCAGCCTCTATCCCTGCAAACTGTTGCATCCACGTTTGCTGCTGGTCAAGGTAAGAGCTGGCTGTAGTGCCATCTGGTTTCTGGATCATGGGCAATGGCTTCGGTCCCATTGCACTGGCTCCTTTTTTACGTCCAAGTCTATGCAAAATGCGGAAGACCAGCCGGTGATTAGCAAGCTCTCCAGAAGTCTGGATTTGTTGCAACAGGTCATCGTAGAAGGCTCGGATGTCAGTGTTGACCATTCGAGTCACTTCCTTTTCGATGGCTCGGAGCTCTGCTTTGAAGTCGGCGTGGTGAAGGCATTCGGCTTGCCGGCCAAAGTCAAGGACGTGTCTCTTGAAGGCAGTGGCACTGAGCGTTTGAGGATGCAGTGGGATGGGGCGTGTTTTGCTGGGCTTCTTGGCAAAAAACTGCCGTCCAAGGGCAAGGACTTGTTGCTCATATAGGGCTGCGTGGTCGTCCACATTAACCTGCCATTGCGGCAGTGGCAGGGTATGCAAGGCAGCTTGAAAGTCAGCGACCTTCTGTGGGTCCAGCATTGCAGGCTCATCCCACGCAATGGGGGGGCCAGCATTGGAGGTGGGCAGCCAACCTGAGCATCGCAGGACCGCAGGTAGGTGGTCTTCATGGGCAAAAGTGGTATCGTGATGAACGTCAATCCAGCTTTTGTTTGCCAGGGGGGCCACCTCTTTGGACAACAGGACATAGTCTTTTCTGCTTTTCTTGCCTGTGGTGTGGGTCCAGGTGGTAGTTGGTCCTTCATGGACTTGGGGAAAGGTGCAAGGTACTGTGAGCTGATGCATGTGGATGAACTCCTCAAACAGTTCACTGGCCTGGTTGGCGGGTTCAGCACCGTGTGGTCCGATGAGGGTACCATCACCTGCGTCAAGCGGGGCATTGGCATCAATGAAGACCCATTGTGCAGTGGCCGTGACGTGCTTGTCGTACAATGCCAGGGTTTCAAGCCACCATTGCTTGGCTAGTGCAGTAGGATCTTGCGACCCTTGGCTCCCATGGGCCAGGCTGGGTGCATGAAGGACCACAAAAGCATAGACTGTATGGCCTAAACGGGCTTCAACAAAGAGCCGTCTTGGATCGGCATGCTGGGTGGTAAAAATGGCTTTGCCTAACACGATAGGGTTACCATCCACGTCCTTGGCTACCGGGAGGGTCTTGTGGATCCACAATTCACAGCCGAGGAGTGGTGCTCTCTTCATGTGGGCACCGGAGGCTAGAATATGGTAATGCGGTGCATGGAAGCGGCCCTGGGGAGTGCGGGCTTCTTGCACACCGATTACATGAATTTGGGCATTGCGCCATTGCTGGTCTAATCGCACTGTTCTTTGGCCTGTGCGTTTGGTGCCGGCGGTATGGTGAGCCCAAACTTCAGAGGCAAGCACGTTTGCTGTGCAAATCGTTAGGCGCCAAGCGGTGGCGGCATCTTGGTGTGCTACCGGCATGCGTTCAGTGGGTACAACACCAAGCTGGAGGCTGGGCTTGGTGAATTGCATGATTTGCTGTTGAGTGAGCGGGGGGAAACATGCCGCAAGGGCAGGATGGGTGGTTTGCATCCATACCCAGTCAACATCGTGTGGGTTGGTGGCCAGTTCATGAAGCTGGGTGAACTGCTGCAAATGTGGGTCGCAGCGTTGGTGCATGGCCCATTTTGCAACTGCATCTGCTAGTTCATTCCATGCGTGGCCCTTGTGCCCTCGGATTTCCTGTATGGTGACTCTGTTTCCCAGCCATAGACCCAGGGCTCCACACAGCTTTGCTAGTGCCTGATTTGACCTGCATGTGGTGGCTGTGGTGGCTACCGTTCGGCTGAGGGATAAATCAGGGCGTATGCAGAAGCTGTAATTGCCTTCCCATCTCATGGCCAAATTTTGGGCCACCACCATTGCAGTCAGCTCCGCTGCAATGTTGTCTGCGGTGTCGGCACCAAGCCAGTTTGGGTGAGCTGATCCAAGTTGAACAGTGCCAAGGAGGCATCCAATGAATGATTCACCCTCAGGATGGCATGCAACAACAATGACACTCCAGCCTGCATCATGACCATTGGCTGCACCATCTAGGTAGAGGGTGTAGCTGAGGGCATCACTGGTGGACGTGGGTGGTGGCTGCAGAAGTGGCCAGTACGCAGGGTCGGGGATGGTCATGCCGTCAGGTAAGGGTAGGAGTGGCAATGGCTCTTCCTGCTCAAGAGCAAGCTTCCAGGCTTCATTTGCAAACCAGAGAAGTTGCGGCTTGGTTTCATCAAGGTCAACTGGCACAAGGCACGAATTATGCGGGATTGCAGCTTGAAGGCAAATCGGGACACGAAACCTGCATGGGTTGGCAACCATCCTGCCCCAAGGGTCCTGACCATCGGTGGTCGGCATGGGGCGCCTGTGGATGGCGGCAGTGCATGACCGACCCTCGGTCAGTTGGATGCGGTCCTGTTCTTCAAGTGCATCATCTCCTACCCAGGCATCACATGTGTTGGAGCTGTGCTGGCAGTCCTGTGGGTGAAAAGCCAGGGCGAGTAGCGTCGTGCGACTAATGACACTTGGGACCATAGTGGCGTGTCGTCTGCGCATGTCTGGATTTGCACTATCGATGGTGGTCAGTAGCACTGTGGTGAAACCTGGGGCTTGTTGTTGAAGCACAAGGACATGGGCAGCAACATGGTCCTCCATCCCTACAGGGTTAGGTTGAACTAGCACCACCTCAACAGCTTGGGTTGGTAAGTGAAAATCATTCCATGCTCTGAGGATGGCTTGTTGCCAGTGGGCTGGGTTTCTTGGAACGAAAACCTCTCTGGGGACAAAGCATTGTGGGAATCGTTCATGGTCAACGTACCATGTCATGATGGGAGCCAGGGGTCTGGCTTGCTGAGGCCTCATGGCAGCCAGATGTTGCCATCTGTGCAATGTGTCAATGGACACATGCTCCATCTGTGCTGTGCAGCTCAGGGCAGCGATGTCTGGTACGATGAACTGGTGCTTCTGTGGGCTCATGGCGGCATCAGTCTCTCGGACCTCCTGAGGCAGTGACCTGAGCGTGGGGTTGTGTGCAAGTACAGCTACCATCTTGGCAATGATATTAGTAAGCTGCTGCATGGCTTGTGCTGCTCCTTGGATGTACCTGGTCGGGCTGTCGGAGGTTGTCATGTTCTCTAAGGCTTCTTTGGGGGCACGTACAACCTGCGCTTGGTGGGTTCTTTGGAGCAGGGCCTGTTCATCGCCTTCAAAGTCAAGTGAGTCAGTAACCACTTCAAAGGCAAAGCCATGGTGCACGGGGTATGAGCTGCCTGGAGGTATGTGACTTGTGCCATGGTATGCACCAATACCAGGTGTGGTGGCAACCTGTTCCTGCGGAATGCCGGCGTGTTCAAACAGGTCATCACATGTAACTTGATTGCTAAGGAAGAGTGCAAACCTTGAGGGATGCCATGGATCTTCAATGAGCTCTGTCACCGAGACTAGTGCGGCTGCCTGTTGGGCTGGGGCATTCTGGACGACTAGGACATGCGCTACAATGTCAGGTAGACCTCCAGGTGGGTCTGGTTGCACTACATACAGGTGGACAGGCTGATTTGGCTGTAAGAAGTCCGCCCACCGTTGCAAGATGTCACTAGGCCATTGGTTGGGATGCCCTGACAGTAATACCTCACGGTGATGGTCACTACGTGGGAGCATGCTGGGCTCAAGGTACCATGTGGCTAGTTTCGCACGGTTGGCATCTTGCTGAATGCAGGTGTCTCTGGCCCGATTCACCTGCCATTGCAGCACTGTGTGAAAATCCTGCAGGTTTTCGATCTGTACTCGGACTTCTTGCACCGGCTGATGTTGGTCAGGGCCTACTTGCGAAAGTGGCTGATATATGGTGAACCACGTGGCGATCTCAGCGTCTCGTGGTGAGACTGGCCGCGCTTTTGCAGCAGGTTTCGGAAAAGCTTTGAACCTTGGTCGCTGCATAAGCGTGCTGGTGTCACTCATGTCACTGCGTGCACTGGAGTCTCCATCACTCGGACCACTGTGGGCGTCAACTTGCATGGGCATGTCTGTACTTGATCGTGCCTGGGTATTCAACCTGTGGTCACCAACATCCAGCAAGATGCTAATGCCGGATGGGACTCGTTCTCGGTTGCTGGGATGAAAGCGGTACCTACCTGAGAACAAATGGCATGGACGGAAGTCACATTGCGGCTGCAGTGCATGATCTTGGATGACCTGATCAGTGCAAATGTCAACAGGGGAGGATTCAGCTTGTTGTAGCAATCCCATTCTGGTACCTCCATGAAAGGCTGCAGTGAACAAAATTGCGGCTTTGTCGGGCACCATTCCTTGTTCCAGGATAATGTGGATCACTGCCTGCCGTCGCATTTGATAAGGAGGAGTGGGCTTGACGATGTGCACTCGTACTGGTTGGTGTTGCCGAATTTGGTCAAACCATGAATTACAAAGGTCAGCGTACCATAGGTCCCGTACGTCATCAAGCCGAATCAGTCTTGGTGCTCTGCATATCGGCATGTGGGTATGGTGAACATACCATACTTCAACCGACATCTCTGGGCCAATCTCCCGATGAAGAGTGGCTGCTTCCTCAAGAAAGATGGCATTCAGCTCGATGTGCCATAGTGGTCTGGGACGAGGCACATTCGGGTTCATATTCTGTGCTGGGATCCTGGCTTCAAAGCGAGGCGGTTCAGCTTCGTGAGAGATGCCAGTGCGTGCTTGAATGGGTTGAACTTCTGTGCCCATACTTGGCTCTATAGTTACTGATTCAGCATTGACTGGATCATGGGCGACTGGTTCAAGAAGCTTTGCCTGCAACATATCTACTGGGTGAGCCGGTGGCTCTTTTGGTGATACTGCAGGAAAAAATTGGCTGATTTTCGTCTGTTTCGTTTGCTTTGAGTTAGGCTGTGTGCTCAAACGGCTGCTAACTTTCGCAAAGAAACTTGAAATTTTGGTTTGTTTGGCTGGTACAGCAATGGCATGATTATCAAGGGCACTGTCTGTGGCTTTAGTATGGCTTGGCCCTACTGCCTGGAGGCTTGACCCATGACCAGTTGGCAAGGTAGGTTTTGACTGTATCCCTTGGTCGCAATCCTCAGCATGGCTGTTGGCACTCCGAGAGTGCTGTGTTGGCAAGGTGTTCACCATGGATCGATTTGACTGTCGGGATTCATCTGTACAAGTGTGGGCAACCTTGGATGTCTGGGGGTTCAGATCAGCAGGGTGCTGCAGTACCGCACCCAGACATAATGGTTGTTGGTCTGCATCTTTTGGCATTGGAGACAGCTTGTAACCATGGGAACGATATTGCACCGCAAGCTGGGTCAGCTGCAAGGCATCAGTGTCTGTGTCATTGGTTTCTTCCGGCATGGCTGCATCTTCATCGGTGCTAGATGGAGCGATCAAGGCAGTGATGTCTTCTGGATTGTCCATCGTGTCTTGCACTACAGCTACTGCTTCCTGTGTCTGGACATGATGCGTGGGTGGTGGCGGCACGATGACCTGGGCGTATGATCCATGCTGCACTGGTCTGGGCAAGTGATCGTCTTCCGGCCATTGGGAACCATCCAGGGTTACCACGCATTGATTTGAGATCAAGACGCAATAGTGATGGACTGCAGCAGCCAATAGAATGTGTTGACGCAGAAGTTGGTGGCCTACCCTCTGTACCTCCCGAACCAAGGTGGGTCTGTGTGTGACACCTTCTGCATTGGGATGGTGGTGGTAGATGATGTCCACCAATAGCAACCGGTCCATGGTGTTGTGGGCCAGGTCACCAGCTCTTTGCACAACTGCTGCCATATCGTACTCAGGAATCTGGTATGGCATGTGAGGCATGACGTGTACAGCGTCCAAGTGATCCAGCGTGATGTGCAGAGCGTCTGCAATTTCTTGCGTTGGCATGATGCGCTGGTCATTCATGACTTGGCAACAGATTTCAACTCCATCTAACTGAAACAGGTGTAGGGAGGTGGTGAATCTGGCAGGCTGGGTACTGGACGCTGCTTGACCTGGTCTACCTGGTGAGTACGTCGGACTGGTCGTGATTGCATCGGACGAACTGGCATCCTCAGCTCGGTGTGTCTGAGAACCATGGGGTTGATCATGGACCACAATCTGAAACCCATCGCCATGACCAACATGATGTGTGGGTCTCAATGTGTTTGGGATTTGAATCCAGCGATACGTGATGAGGCATTCTGCATGTCTACAGTATCTACCGGCATCTGCAGCTTGGACAAGTTCATATCCACTGACAACTTCGGGCAGGGAGCATGCAACTGAGTACATTTGGAACGTGTTAGCTGTGCCTGGCATGACAGTGATCATGGATGCAAAACGTGGTACCTCAAGGGACTGAGTAACAATCATGTCGAAGACCACAAATGCATGACGTGCAATTCGAGGAGGGTCAGGTTCAACAATGATCCCATCAAACCAATCCTGATTGTTGAGTTGGTCAACCCAAAGGGATTGTATTTGAGCCTCCCATCCCCTTGGTGGTCCTACCAATTGCAGGATCCTTGGTGCTGTCCACCTGTGCACTGTGCGGTGGTCGATGTACCATGTGCGTATTGGCAGGTCGAAGTCATTGTCATGCGGGTCAAGCCCAAGCGCTTCTAACCTATTGGTTAGGTAATTGACAAAGGCTGGGAGAATGGGCTGATCGTGTGTCCATGGGTTCATCATTGGTGTCATCATCATCCGATTGTGGTCCCACAAGGTGTGCAATCGGGCTCTCATGTTCTCTTCTAGCCTGCATTAGTGGAGGCAGGCAGGAACCTGAATTGATATGCTTGTTAACCTGAACAATGTGGGTTTTCTCATGGATGAGGCTCAAGGAACCATGATGGTCGGAAGGTGAAACCTGATCCAGTGCATGTTTCTTGGATGATGTCACTGCACGGTGCATAAAAGACGGCTGTTGGGCAACATCCTGCAACAAGGCGACAATCTGGCTTAAACCTGACAAGAACACACGGTGATGCTTAACAAGGGACACATCGGAGCATGACTCACTGCAGGAACAGGCAGGCAATACTGCTCGGCTGGCATAGGCTTTGCCTGTCAGTAGCCTGCTAGTTGAAGGTGGTGTATGCTCTACTGGACATGGTGTCACTTTTTCTGAGTGCACAGGGGCGTCTGCTTCCGGGTTTGATGTTGCAGTGCAAAGTTCACTGCATTGACTGGCACTGCATCCAAGCTGGGCAACCTGCGGAATCCGAGGTGAAACATCAAAATTGGTTTCCGGCTGCACGGTGAATGAGGTGAAAAAATGTTCGGCTTCCTGCGGGGCAGCGTACAACACTTCGGTCTGTACAGAAGCACGGAGTGGCATTGAATTCACCTGTACAAAACGGGTGGACGGATGCTTCGACTGCAGCGGGTGACACATGGGACTATCATGTTCAAAATGAACATCAGCAAAATTTTGTTGATCAGCATCAGTTGATGGAAGAAGCTTCCATGGTTTCCAAGGGGATAACAAGGCATTGGCATGCGTGACAAAGTCCTGAAGAGCATTGGAAGTGTCTTCGCCTATCCTAATGCACAAGACTTCAGAGAAGGCTACCATTTTCACACCTGGCCTGTAACCCTTGGGGCATTGACTACCACTGTCAACCTTAGAGCCTTCCCTACGCAAAACTGGGTGAGGCATGATCGCTTTGGCAATGTGCGTGGCTGGGCAAATGGTCGAACCTGAGCTGGTTCGAAGTGGCAAAGTGCCAACTTCCCAGGCTAGGTGAAATGCAGCATCGTTTGCCTGCCATTCAGATACAAAACTTGGTTCTTGAAGAACTCCATGCGTCCACTTTGGGATGCATCCTGAGACACTGACCGCATGTGAGAAAGGCCTCTGAGCAATAGATTCCATCACTGTATTCACTCGGCCTAGCCAAACCCCGTAGCACCACCATGCGATTCGGATGGTTTTGAGACTTCCGTATGTGCTGGGTCGAGGCGAGGCCGTTTGAGTGCCTTTTGCTCGTCCTCCACCATCTGTTCTGCTGAGGTTTGTAAGGCTTCTAAGCTGGTTTGCAGGTTGGTGAGGCCCTCCTTGATGCGGTCTGCCGTTGAGCCCGCCAGATCTTTGTCGGGCTCCTCGTCGCTGACTGTCATGGCATCTTCCTTCGCTTCGATCCCTGCGGTGGATTTGGCTTTCGCCAAGCATTCTTTGGCTTGATCCAGTGCTTCCATGGCTGAGCTGACGCGCTCGTTCATCTGCTTCTCCTGCTCCATGAATTGTGCACTGTAACCTTGCCATTGGGTGACTGCTTGGCTGAGGAATCCTCTCCATGCGTTGTGTAGGTGGAACCTTGCAAGCTGTGCCTGCTGTAGTTCCTTTCGTGCTCGTCCATGTGCTGCCACGACTGCATGGAGTTGTTTGGTTTCCTGTTGGCCTTCCTTGATTGCCGCTTCGTTGACCATGTTTTGGAGCTCTGGTGGCAGTGTATCGCTGTGTTTCTTCAGCGCTGCCATGAGTGTCTTCAGCTGCTTGTCCTCTGAGCTCTGCTGTGCCGGTGGTGGCATGGTGGCTGCAAGTGAGTTCATGGATTGCAGCCATGGCGGGTCCATTGCACTTGCTGTCAAAGCAGGTGGTCCAATCTTCTCCGGCTCTGAGGTCACCGCCTTGCCTTTTCCCTTTGCACCTTTGTGAGAGTCTGCATCCTTTTTGCTGGCTTTTCGTGAGGACTTTCTTCTGGAAGACGTTCTTGGCTTCGGGGGTCTCGTCCATTGCGAGTCGCTGACTTGAGACGCATCCCAGTATGGATCTTCCCAATCCTGCTCTGTCCAGTCGTTGGCGTATGTCCACTGGACTGAGCGCTGTGACCTGGACTGTCGAGGAGGAGGTCGAAAAGATGGATCTGAGCATAGGTGCCAAGAAATCCCACACACTCCACAAAACTGATGTGTTGAGCTGCATATTTTCATGCAGGTCTTGCATCTCCATGGTCCTGCATTGTTCGCCATTTGTGCTGTTTTGATGCGGTCGATGAATGCCTGGTCTTTTGAGTGATGGTGTTGGAGCTTGTCCACCA